AGATGACCTAAATATAGATGTACCATGTTTATAGATAGAACAATGCAGTAGATAAAAATTTGTGAGTCATATGGAAGTAAATGTATGACCAATTCTGGGCCAAATGGCCCAAAAGGCTAGTGCTCAAATTTAACTGAAGAATTCAGAAATTTTCTCAAGATTTAAAAACATCGAAACCGAAAGAGACATTCCAGGGATCTTCAGGTCCTTGACCTGAAAGAATGTGAATCTGGGACTTCTGGCAGTTGTTTCCCACCATTTGGAAAAAGTCAGTCTGTAGTAGCAGAGGGTTGATCAGTGATGAGACTTAAAAACTGCATGATCTGGAGGCATCAATGTCTAGAGCCAGTGACTAAGTTCTTTGGAGCTACATAACACCTTATTTTATTAATTAATTTATTTTTATTCTATGAACTACTTCACTATCCTCCCAATAAGTCCTAATGTCTTTCTTTGTTTTTGTTTTCATTTTGCTTAGTTTTGAAACATTTACTGAATGTCTAAGCCTACAAAACAAGTCTTCTTTTGCTCATAGAACTTACATTTGAATGAGCACTAATAGGCTATAAACAAATAAATAAGCAAGAAAATATTAGGTAGAGATAAGGGCTGCGATGAAAACCAAAAGGGACCATGGAACAGGAAGTAATAAGAGAACTATGTTAGTTTGGGGTGTCAGAAAATATTTAGTCAAAACCACAATGATGGTTTATGTGGGTACTTTGCATGCCAGACAATGTTTAATATGATTTATAAATATTAACAGTTTTCTCTGGATTTTTTGATCAACAATGGACCAAATTAACTTCAGATCAAATTTCCAGTTGTGTCAAGTTTAGTGTCTGGAATGTGTATAGTTGTAATTTCAATAACAATTCCAAAGTGCTATTTAGTTTTTATTTTATTTTTGTTATTATTTTTTTTAATTTGGAGAGAACCTGAAGTATCTAGCCAAAAATAAGGAAAAGACAAACAAACTTGCTGTATCAGTTACTAAAGTACATAATAAATATTATAATCAAAAATTACTGCGTGGAAGGACTGGGTTTGTGGCTCAGTGGTAGTGTTTGCTTAGCACATGTGAAGCAGTGGGTTCAATCCTAAGCACTATATAAAATAAATAACTAAAATACAGGTATTGTGTCCATTTACAACTAAAAATATTTTTCAAAATTATTGTATGGAAATTATACAAGAGGTTGGGGCTGCTCAGAAGCAGCACACTTGCCTAGCATGTGTGAGGCACTGGATTTGATTCTTAGCACCACTTGAAAACAAATAAATAAAATAATTATTTTACAAAATACTGTAACAACAGATAAATTGATCAATACTGAAGTATAAATGGCCTAGAAACAAGATTCTAATATACATATATAAACATGTACAGTATAATGAAGGTGACATAAAAAAGTGGCAATGGGGAGGACTTATTGAGCTTGATAATTATATAACTCTGATAGACAAGAGTTGTGTGATAATTCCCAAGATTCATGGCTTCTGGTAAGAGCATGCCTTCTTCCAATTATTTAGTCAAACATGAATCTAGGTACTACTGTGAAGGGATTTTGCAGATTTAAGTTCCAAGTCAATTGGCCTAAAAAATAAGGAGATTATGCCGGTGGATCTGACCTAATCACATGAGTCTGAAAAGGGGACTAAGCTCTTTCTGGAAGGAGATTTGAAGCATGAGCTGGACTTCATATGAGGAAGATTCTTTGTTGGCTTTGTAGATATGGAAAGCCTACAGGAAGAGAGTGGCCCTCAGCCAATAAACACGGCCCTCAGCTTTGGAACCACAAGATCTGAATTCTTCTAACAGCCCCCAATGAGTTTGAAAGTGAATTCTTCCCCAAAGTCCCCAGAAAGAAAGGGAGCTCAGCCAATACCTTGATTTCAGCTCTGTGAGATCTTTAGCAGAAATCTCAGTTACATCCTTGTTGGACTTCAGAGTTATGAGCTAACAAATGCATGTCGTTTGGGGCTACTAAGTTTGATGTGATTTGTTAGGCAGCAATAGAAAACTAATATTTAAAATTTTTTTTTAATATTAAACATAGAGAATCATATCTTTGTAATATAGCAAAATAAACTCCATGAGTATTGATGCTTTGATGCAAAGAAGGAAGTCAGAAGGCCAAGCTATCTTATTTTTTCACTTTGTATTATGTAATATTAGTTATGAAAAAGGAATATATGCAATATATATGTGAGATTTGATGCATAATCATAGAATGAACACTAAAGTTCAGAAGTAGAATATTTCCAATGCTGTGAAAGCTATATTCTCCTAACATCATTTCCTTTTTCTGGGTCTCTCTTCCTTTATCCCAACAAGATAAATTATCCTGAAGTTTATTTATGTCTCTTTTGCTTGTGTTTGTATTAATAATAAATGCCATATATACATCTATCCATAGACAAGGTATTGTTCAATTTTGATTATTTATGAGATTTATAGAATATCATTTGGATATTGCCTTCTGTGGCCTACTTTTTTCCCATTCAAGATAATGTTTTAAACATTTTACTTCTATTACTGCTTATAGCTTTGGTTCATTCAATTTTAAATCCAATGTGTCAACATATTATAATTTGTCCAATCTTTTGTTACTGACATTCAGATATGTACATTATCTTTGCTATGGTAAACAAGACCTCTATGAATATTCTGGTATAAGTTTCCTGGTTTCTTAGAATATATACCTAGGAGTTAATTTGCTGGATTGTAGGTATGTGAATATTCAACTTTACACTGTAATGCCATATTCTTTTTCTGAAGTAATTATATAAAATAATAATTTCATTAGCAGCATTTTGGCCAACATTTATTTTTGTTATTTTCCCTAATTTCTGCCTACATACTAAGTATAGCTTGTGCCTCACTGTAGTGTTATACAAGAGGGTTGGGGCTGCTCAGGAGCAGCACACTTGCCTCGCATGTAGTGTTAGTTTACATTTCTCTGTTATAAATGGAGCTGAGCGCATTTTTATATTTTAAACTGACAACTTTCTTTTGCAGTGCAGTGATGCTCCATACTTTTTGCACATTTTTCTATGGAGTTATTTGACTTTTTCTCTTTGCTTTAGTTCTTGATGTATTCTGGATACTAATCCTGTGTCAGTTATTTGTGTTGCGGTTTTCCTTAATAGTTTCTGGTTTGACTATTCCCTTTTATTATGATGTCTGTTATAGATTGTTTGTGTCCCAGTCCCGATCTCCCATTCATATTTTGAAGCCCTCATCACCAATGTGGTGGTATTTGGAGAAGGATCCCTTAGATGTAATTAGGAATAGATGAATAATGGTGGTAGGTCTCCCACGAGGAGACCAGAGATTAGCGTTCTCATGAGATGACTGACACACCAGAGCACTGGCTCTCTGTTTCTCTCTGCCATCAGCAAGAAGGCATCCATCTGAAATCCAGTAAGAAAACCCTTACCAGAATCCAGCCAGACTGGCACTCGGATCTCTGACTTCCAGTCTCCAGAAATTTCAAAAACTAATTTTTGTTGGTTAAGCCATCCGGTCTGTGGTACATTGTTACCCCATTCCGAACTGACTAATATAGTATCTTTTGATGAAAAGTTCTTAAACTTATTAAAACAGAATTTAGAAGTCTTTCTCTCAAGGGTTTCTATCTTATTTAAGAAATCCTTCATTATCTCAATATTATAAGACATTGCCCTATTTTTATTTTAAAAGTTTTAAAGTTTTATCACCACACATGTGGTCTTAATCTATTAGAATTTGATTTTTATATAGGCCATATGTTAGGGACTCAATTTAACTTTTTTTCTACGTGGATAACAAATTGTCTTAACATCATTAGTTGATTAGTCTGTTCTTTCAGGCACCTTTAGGATTGTCTCTGCCAGTAAGACTCCATACGCACAGGTTTGATCAAATTTTTGATCCTCTATTGTGTTCCATTGATCAATTTGTTTATCTCTGTGCTCATATGACAGTATCTTAATTAAGATAATTTTATGATAATAAATCTTGATGTATGATAGATTTCTTGCATTTTATTTTTTCTTCTTCAGGGCCTTTTGCTATTCTTGAGTCTTGTTCATAAAAATTTTAGAATCTGCTTGTTAAATTCCTAGAAAAAATCTGTTGGGATTTAAAAAAAAAACTTTTTGTTATATGAAAAAAACTTTTAGTATATTTAAAAATACAGAGAATTGTATATTGAATATATAAGTGTATCAGTGAACTAAATTTAACAGTTATTAACATTTTTCATGTTGCATCTCTATTTTTTTCTTTGCTGAATTATTTTAAATCAAATCAGATGTCCTAACATTTCTCTCATACATATTTTAAAAAGAGGGTGGACATCTTTTGGCATATACAAGATTCCATATTATGCCCAATAAGATTAAAAAAAACAATTCTTAGTATAATTAATACATAGTCCATATTCAAATTCCCCCATCCCTTCTTTTTATAGTTTGTGTTAACATCTAACATACAAAAAGACCTTTACATTTTATTTGGTTATTATGTCTCTTAAATCTCTTTTAGTCTGGACAGTCACCCACTATTTTTTTTTTCATGTCATTAACTTCTTGAAGAAACTGGGTCGATTGTCCTATAGAACAGCTTATATTTTGGATATATGTTTAATTGCTTCTTGGGATATCCATTGTCTTATTTCTCTATTCTCTGCATTCTAGATCTTAATTAACTTGTATTAATTTCTTAATACAAATTCATGATACAGAAAACGTCTGGTTGTATCCCTTGCCATGGTGCTAACAAAAATCAGACAAAGCAAGAGAAAGAGAATTTCCAAAAGGAAAAGATGCAGGGCAGAGGGCAAACATGTTGAAGATATTTTGTGTTTGGACTGATGCACGTAGTAGGAGGTGCGTATGCAAAAGTCAGAGTGACAGTAAGGAATTGTATATTGAATGTGAGGAGACTGGAAAGTGAGGCAGTTTAATGAAGTGAAGCCTAACATCTGTGTTTAGAAATAGTTTTAGAAGAGGAGGAGATGGAAGAGACGTAGGTCAAAGGAAAAAGTGCAAACCCACAAGGAAAGTCATTTAGTGTGTGCCACGCTAAGGAGCATGCAAACTGACTACAGGCAGAGACTGAACTAGGATTAAAGAGGAAAGTTTGGATAGTAAAGTTCTGGATAGAGGGACTAACGTACTTTACAGTCTGTGTCGGGGAGGGATGATGAAAGGGAGCAACCTGGAGATAAGGAGACAGGTTAGGGTGTTGTGGCAGTGCTATGAATGTGATCTAACTGAAGAGCTGAACTAACTCTGGGGCAGTGTCGTTTCTACAGAAAAGGATGCGTTTGAGAGATAGTGAGGGCATGGAAACCTTAGAACTTGTAGAATTATCTGAACAATGATGACTCCCACGTTTCTGGCGTGAGCTCTCTATCTCTGACAGTTTCAATCAGAACATGCTTTCCATTCATCATGGTCAGAACTAAGTGGAAACCACATGCACCTATAATTGTTCAATTCAGAATTGCTACAGAGAAGACTGCTCTCCCATCAAGTAGTCAGGATAGGCACTAGCAATCATACCTGACGTTCAGAAAGCTCAGTTTTGAGTCTGTTGTACAAGTGAATGCTTTAGGAGTGGATTAGCTCATTCAAAGAAGCATTGTACAGCAGATTTTGAAGAAGCCTGACACAGACCCCAGGGGAACAACATTTGGGTGATAAGTGAAGGAAGGAGAGCTGAGTTATAGCCAGAATAGTAGGAGAAAAATCAGAAGTAGTGGCATGGAAGGCCTGTGATGGTTTGCTGGCAGTATTAGGCATCTCTTGTGGATAGCATTCTCCCTGTGTCTTTCCATTATCTTCCCTCTCTCCGGTCTTTCTTCACCTGATGTTCTTTTTATCAGGACAACAGTTCTATTAGAGTAGGGGTCCACCTTTATCCAGTATGACTTCATCTTAGTAAATTCCATCTGGAACACCCTATTTTCTCAGTACTTTATATTCTGAGATACTGGGGGAGAGGTTAGGATTTCAACACATAGATTGGGAGGAGGGCACAATTCTAGGTACAACACATAGTTTGAAGCCTAAGGCTCAGGGTCTTTGAAGATATTTGAAGGGGTTTCATATTTTTTCTGTGGGAAAGATTTTGAACAGATTAGTTATATAGTTGACGAAAAGTTAGTTTGATGTCATCTAGTGTTTTATCAGTCAGATTTATATTGAAAGTTAATTTACACTCAAAAGTAGTTTTGGGGTGGGGGAAAACATGAGAGAACTTGCATATGGGAAGCCTACAGAATCAACTTATATTCTCACTGGACTAAGGCTACTCTAGGGGTGTAGATGAACAACATCACTCTACAGAACTGTCATGATACACCATCCCAAATGAATTAGATACAACTCTCCTTGGTCTTTGTACTAAGTCTGCTGAGTATTTTTATTCTAAGAGGAAGCATGCAATGAGCTATGTTAGGTCAAGGATGTGCTTTTGGGGTTTGGAGGTCACTTTGACCTCCAGCAACAAAAGGGGTGGTGGTAATCATCTTAAAGAAAATTGGAGTAATGATACTAAATGGATAAATGTTCACAAAAAAATGTGTTAAGGAGAAGCCAGTGAAAAGTCAACTTCAAAAGTGCTATATTAAGTGGCAAGAGACTGAACTAGGATTAAAGAGGAAAGTTTGGATAGTAAACTGCTTGATGATGAGGAGGGTAGGAACATGAAAAATTGAAGGATGCTAATCAAAGTAAGGTGATCAAGAGGAAAAGATCATTTTATAGCAAGGTGGAGAAACATTTGTTGATTTTAGCTGTCTACCACTTGAACATTCTTCATATTTTAGAAGAATTACCCAAATAGCAAGCAGGGTCCTACTGTGACTATCCATTTTATGTGTCAACTCGACTGGGTTGAAGGGTGCCTAGGTATTTGGTTGAACACTATTTCTGGGTTTTTCACTGAAAGTGTTTCTGGATGACATTAACATTTCATTCAGTGAACTGAGGAATTAGATTACCCTCACCAGTGTGGATGGGCATTGTCAATCTGTTGGGGGTCTGAAGGGAATAAAAGTCAGAGGAAGGGAGAATCTAATTTCTGTACTTCCTTGACTGCATGAGCTGGGGCATTGCCTTTCTTATTTTTGTACTGTGGCTTATACCTTTAAACATCCTCAATGCCATACCTTTAAACTCAGACTGAAACTACATTACTGGATTTTCTGGGTCTCCAGCTTGTAAATAGCAGATGTGAAATTTCCCAGTCTGCAAAATGTGTATGTATGTGTGTGTGTGTGTGTGTGTGTGTGTGTGTGTGTGTGTGTGCAAACATGCATGCACTTGTGTGTGATATCTCCCATTTGTTCTGTTTCTCTGGAGAATTTTGACTCACACCCTGGAAGCTGAAAGTGAGTGTTCAAAAGCACACGATCTTTCTACACGCAGTAGCTAACCCATAAGTAAGTAACCTAAACTGGGCACATCAGATGCTCTCAGGTGGAATTTTGGTTCTTGAGACAGTGATAGAAAGAGTCAGTGGATGGTCAGAGATTATTGTTTGTGGTAGAGTTGAGAACTCAGCAGCGTAAAAGTAAGTGTTGGCTGTGGAGGGTGTAAAGCAGTATCCACAGCAGCCTGAGTCTGTGGTGGAGTTGTAGATGTGTCCAAATCCCCTTAGTTTCTGCCTGTTCTCTGGAGCCTGAGAGCTTGAGAACTGGCCCACGGAGCCTTATAATCAATTCATTTTCTGCGTAAGTTGAAGGTTTGTTGTTTTGTTGTTTGGAAAGATGGATGATGATGTACAGAGTGTATAGTGGGGTCACCATCGACTGGCGTTTTTGTCATGATGAGTGAAAGCAAATAGCATGACAGTCACAGAAAAATGTCCAGAGTCAGATGGATAAGTGCAAGGAGTTCATAAAAGGGGTCATGAGTGAAGGTAGATTTGGTTGTTATCCACCTAGATGTGATCAAGGCAGTTATGACAGTGGATGAATTCCTAGGGGAAGAGAGTAGGAAGAGAGGAAAAAATGGCAAGGGCTAATCTTTGGTTAGCCTGCAGGAAGAGACTAGAAGAAAGAAGTGAACAGTTACCACCACTATCACCACCACAAAACACACACACACACACACACACACACACACACGCACATACACACATGCACACATGCACACACACTTGAACCAGGGCATTTACAAATATGGGCAAGAAAATGAAATAGTTCAAGATATAGATGTTAAGAATGGAGAGAAGTTCAAGGAGAAGCTGAAGGGTCAAATGAGTCATGAAGGGTTCAATGAGAATGAGAACTAAGTAATTTATTAAATTTGTCACTGGTTACTGACTTATTATGTTTTCTGTTGCTGCAACTGAGCCTGGGTAGTCTATACAGGAAAGAAGTTAATTTTGCCCATGTGCTGGGCATGGCATCAAACACATTCTCATCAGCTTCCCAATTACCCATCAACTGGCTTCTGAGATTATGCTTGTTTTATAAAGAGACAACCGAGGCTTAGACAGGCTAATTTGTCTAACATTTGAATTTGTACTTTTATATCTATGATTCTAGGAGACCACGATCTTTCAGAATTGATTGATACTCTGTTTGATGTTTTTAAAATAATTCTTGCACAAAGCAGAACCAGAAGTCTGGATTACCCATCCACTTGAAAACTAAAAATGTTTAGGTCTGTTTTGAGGAACTGGAGCTAACCAAACTTTAGATAAGTTAAGAAACACAATCCGATATATATAAATGTGAGTAAGATAGTTGTCAACACTTTTGAAAGAATGGGACACATTATATTATTAACATTTGCTTTCCAAAAGCTTTCAAAAATATAAAACTCAGACTCTTGAATTCAAAATGCTTTGGGATTCTTAGCCCTTTCCGTGATTGTAAAACTAGGTCACTGAGTAACGTTCAAGATTTTTTTTTTTTTTGTTCTTAAGCTTTAAGAAATTATGTTGACATTGGGATAAAGAGTTGTATTTATATCTTGAAAATCTGATAAAGATGGTAAATTGCTGTTTACTCAGTCTGAGGAAAATAGACTGTTAGAGAACTCTGAGCTGACTTTCTTCAACAGTTGAGCTTGTTAATACTTCTATAATGTCAGGAAAGTGAGAAAAATTTAAAGGGTTTAAAGTCTCTCCTGTCCCCTCTAACACCTCTCTCTGATGGGAATTATTAAGACCCCTGGAGAAGTCGGAGAGCCTTGGGACTAGTCCAGATTCTAGAGAATTCAAACAAAATATTCCTGAACCTGTAGAGCAAAGTGAATTTTCTTTGGCTTAATTTATTGCACCCGTTGACATTTCTCAGAATTTGATCCACCAAACAGTATTCTTTGGACTATTTAAAGATACTCCTTGAAAACCAGTGCTCTGTTTAAATACTTGTAGGTTACTGGGTGAAGAAAAACTGAGAAAAAAAGTTTTAAGGTGTAGTTCTCAGCGAATAGTATTGAATATGCACAGAATTTTTTGATCAATAGACATTTATTAAGCAGCTTCAGTGGGCCAGACACTACAGTAGGCCTTAGAGAAGCATCTTTCCTAACCTCAGGGGAGTAAGAGCTGGTGAAAATCTCCTGTAAATTGCAAGCAGATGGATGGTAAGGTATGAAGAGATTCTCATTTTTTTGGTCTTGTTTTTCAGCAAACTGTCACCAATTTTATTCCCTCCTCTAGCTTTACTGAGGTAAAACTGACTAAAATTATATAAATGTGATATGTACAACATGACATTTTGATATACTAATACATTGTAAAATGATTATCATGCTGCATTTAGACCACAAGAATCTTCCTCTCATCCTCTCTCTTTCTCTCTCTCTTCCCTGTATTTCCTTTTCTCCTTCCTTCTCCCCTTGCCTTCCCCCTCCCTTCTTTTTCTCTTTTGTTGGTGGAGCATCTCCAAGGTAAGGGCTGCAGAGGAAAGTACTTTGGATAAATGTAAGACTACACTGATTAATTGATTCCCTGGATAATAGATTTTTTCAGTGTTTTCTCTAAGAAGTCCAGATGTTAGAAAGCAAGGCCAGGATGAGCAAGCAATGAAGTTGACCCAGCTGATTACTGTATACATCAATGTTTGTATACAACAATGTTTTCCAAACACATTGGCCAAGGTGAGATCAGTCCTGGGGAACACAGGGCCAAGATGAGAAACAGAACACTTCAAAGTGGGGAAGGTTTTAAAGGTACTTAGAAGTTTTCAAAGTACCAGTAATCCAACTTGAATTCTAAACAGAGGGATTCTCTGGGCACAGACTCTTCTTTCCTGTCTGAGATGGAGGGAGGTGCCACCAAGAGACACTTTGTGCTGATACAGTTAAAAGGCTCCATTTAACTTCTCTCTGTGGAAAAGAACCAAAGAACTAGGAGGCAGAGTTTTGAGATGGGAGCAATGAGGTGGGAGAATAACATGAGCCAGCCACAAAAGTTGGATTTTGGCAATAATTTCCAGCCAAGTGTACGCATAACTTAACTTACATATCAGGGAAGGACCTGTTGCCCATAGACCTTCAACACTATTTTACAAAACAAGTGACTATTTTATGGTCACTTGGCATCAGAAAAGGACAGGCTTTGAATTTAGACAGACCTGAATCTGAAACCAAACTCCTTTGCTTTCTGTTGGGTGCCTGTGGTTTGTAATTGTTGTGTTCTCAACTATTGCAGAGGATGAAAGCAATTGGGAGTTTGTCCTCAAAGAGTGGATTTGAATGGGACATATGGCATGCGTTTTTATCCCTGATCCAATGAAGAAAGTGAGTAAATACAAAATGAGTGTCATGAAGAGATATGTTCAGTTCATAATTTCATTTACTTGAAAGAACAAGGACCTCTATTGGTCCCAGTGAATCAAATTTCTTCGGAAAAAATATTTTATCTCCAAACACATAAAATTGCACATTTTCGCATCAAATGTATTTCTAACCAATTTTGCCTTGTCTGTTAAAATTAGGCATTAAATTGTTAATGCCATTTCTAATACTGAATAATCTGTGTTTTCTAGGTTTCAGCCTGCTTTCACATCTGTTTTCTCATTTGTTCCTTGTAACACTAAATTCTGCTAAGAAAGGTCCTCACACTTTCTTTTGACAGATGAAGAAACTGAAGCTCAAGGTCAGTGGACCAACTTCTGCAAATGAAGCAGAATTGGAAATAAAAAGCAAAGTTTGTTTTAATTCCTGTGTTCTTAATTACAGAATGTTATTTGGGTCCGAGAGTCTTAAAAAAGCTACACATTTATTGCAAGAGAACAGTGAATCCAAATAATTTTGCACCAGAAATGAGCTATAGGCTGAAGAGACACATTCTCCCACATACATTTCCTATTATTTCTTTATGCAGTTAAGATGCTATTGTGACAAATATTAATGTAATTTCATTAATGTGTAATCAATTCACAGATTTTTGTTGTGTATTTTATTCAACCATCATATGGAGTGTCTTACCATTATTATTTTTAATGTGGAAAATGAATCCTTGCTGCTGCTCTTCTAGAAAGAAAATTATCAATGGTTTAAAATAAAATTCAAGTCAATTGACTGAAAATAACATTGCAGAAAAAGCTGCAGTATTGAAAAGAACTAATACAATATTACCCCCCAAAACCCCCCAAAACCACACACACACATACACACACACACACACACACACAACAGCAACAACTTCTTACTGGTCACTACTTTGCAAGCCTGTGACTTCTTTGTAGTCTAAAATATTATTGTAGTCTATACCCAAAAGTCTGGAATTCTCATATTGATACACATGACCAAATTTTCCTTCATCCAAGTTTTTGATGAGATAGGACATAGAAGTCCTGTTTCTATCTTTATTTTTGCAGTTGCTTTAAAAATATTATGAAATATTATAATACTTAATATTAGGTGATCTGGAAAAAAATCTAATTTTCCATTAGAATGAACTAAAAACTAGTTCTGTTGCTATTGCATGAAATGATAAAATCTTTCTATTTAACTTCTCCATTAAAAGAAGCAACTTTTGAATTAGATTAAAAAATATCTGTCTTGGGTCAGAAGAAAACAATGGCAGACTACAAAGGAGATCACACGAGAGAAATGTGAAATAAGAAAGGGAATCATGTCAGTCCCTTTTGTGTCCCTCTCTCCCAGTCCCATATCACTAGGAAACTTTACACAGTACTTTTAAGAATTCTGCTGGTAAATACTGGACAGACTGCCCATAGCAAACTGGGAATCATTTTCTTCCTACTTAAATAACAGAGGCAAATAGGAGTGGGTTTAGTAATGTGTGCTTTAGAATAAAGAGTCTTAGGACTCTTTTGCTATTCCCTCACACTTTTGGACTCTTTGTAGTAGTAAAACAGATTACAAGTTTAATTGCTTTCTTCTTTTTTTTTTTTTCCAAACTGGGGATTGAACCCAACCATATTTTTGAGGCTTTTAGATAGGTTAAGTTGCTTTTTATTTATGCGAAATTACATATTATTTTAAAATGTGTGCTCTACCTGAGGACAAATAACATAGAATCAATTCTCGTTATTTGTGGTAGTTAAGTTTTTATAAAATCACTTAAGCACAGAGGTGAAAAATAGTGAACTTCTGTTTCCCAGGAAACACTAGGTTTGTTCCTGTGAACCTCTGGTCACATTTTCAATAACTGATCAATATGTAACCTTGTTTTATGAGTGCTTCTGTTTAAAGATGGCTTATGCAATAGATATTGTTGATTCATTAACATTGAATTCAGAACCAAGAGTACTATAACTCAGGTCTGAATGAAGCTTCTCTAACACAGGTAGCCTCTCTACATGGCACATCAATCAGCCTTCCTGCATTTAGGAACCCTGGATCATACTTAGTGCTATGTGAGGAGAAAGAACAAACATGAGAAAGCCATAGCACTAAACAGACCATGGAAAAAAATGCTTGTTTATAGTACAATAGCTGAAATAAGAGGGTCAAGTATCCCCACTGGGAACATGTGACAAACTTTTCACTGATCTGTACTTTCCTTCAAATGACAACAACAATTGTGTATCAATTTGTGGTTACAAATTAATTTTAGTGAGTCAGAGAATTTTCAAATCTGGAACCCATGAACAACAAGGCCTGACTGTATCTCGTTCACTTTGTGCCACTTGGGACTGTACTGTTTCTTGGCATAGTAAGAGCACAATACATACATGTTGAATAGATAGAAATAGTGACCCATAATTTTGAAATTAACATCATTGTATTTGCTATTCTGTTTTGTGCTCTTAAGAATTTTGTGATTTTCTATAAATAGAATATGAACGTTGTAAACATTTTAGAAAAACACAAGAACTTGTTTGGTTAGGCTCACAGTCATTTCCCTTGAAATGTTGCTTGCTCACTTCTGTCATCCAAAACTGATTTAAAAATCTGCTTCCAACATAAATTTCAGTCCTTTGTAGTGTTAATCCCCCTTTCTTTGGCAACATTTAAGATATTTTTTTTCTTTTTGGAATTTTGAAAATTCACTATATTAACTTAGTCTCTGACTTAGAACATTTGTATATTTCTGTAATTCTGGAAAATATCCTTCTATTTCATTGTCTATATCTTCTGCATTCTCCCACTGTTATTTATGGAATTTATATTAAATATGTTCTAAACTTCTGAACCTAGTTCAAATTCCTCTTGAAGTTTGTTTTATGCATTATTTCTTTGTCCCTTCTTACTATGTTCCATGTTATAAGTTGACTTAAATTTCCAGCTCACAAATTTACCTTCAGCTATGACCATTATGCTATTCAGTTCACGCATTATGTTTTAAAAAATATACATATGATTAATTAATCAACTATATATAATATCTCTCTTTATGGATGTTTAATTAGATACACATGTATATATATATAGAATCAATTTTAAAAAATATTTTTTAGTTGTTGATGGACCTTTATTTTATTCATTTATCTATATGCAGTGCTGAGAATCAAACCCAGTGTCTCACACATGCAAGGCAAGTGCTTCACCATTGAGCCACAACCCCATCCCTAGAATTAATGTTTATACATAGCATGAAGTGTACTGAACTAGGACAAAAGAGGATGGACACCTGAGGAATTTTCAGGAAGCAGGTTTACAGATTGTAGGGTCAGAGAGTGCTAAAATTCTCCGGACAAAGATTTTAGAAACTCTTTGAACTTTATACCCAGTGGGGAGGGGGAGTTTGGAGATACACAGGACAAGTGATTTCTGTTTTCATCCTCTAGACCAGACACAGGTTTCACAGGTTTTTTACCAAGAAAATACAGGGTTTTGTACAATAAGCTTGTAGACTAACTCCATCACATGTTTTGTGTGCAAACCTGGCATTTACAAGAAAGAGGAAACTTCAAACCACAAGAAATCCTACCTATCTGACAAGAAGAGAAGCTTAATTATGGCAGGGGTCTTTTGAGTGGGGATCTCTGGCCTGCTTCAGTACAATTGCATTCTTTTGCATGTGGTTATCTAATTGTCCCAGAATCATTTGTTGAAACGATTATTTTTTTCACCATTAAATATTCTTTGTACCTTTTCAAAAATCAGTTGGCCATAAGTGTAAGGTTAATTTCTGGATTTTCAATTCTAATGAATTGATTCACATGTCTATCCCATGTCAGTGCTACACCATCTCGATTACTGTCGTTTTAAGTTCTGAAATCAGAAACTTCAAACTTTGTTCTTCATCTGAAAACTTTCTTTCTTCATCTTTGTTCTTTTTTTTAAGATTGATTTGGCTTTTCTGGTGCTTTATGTTTCTATTTGCAAAAATAGTAGCTGAGATTTTGGTAGGGTTTACATTGAATCTGTAGATTTTTAAAGTGTTGTTAACAATACTCGGTCTTCCGCATCCATGCTCATGAAATGTCTTCCCATTTATTTAGATCTTCGATCACTTTCAGCATTTTTGCAGGTTTCAGTGTATAAGTCTTTTGTTCAATTTATTCCTAAGTATTATTTTTTGTTTTCATAATATGTAAGTGGAATTAGTTTCTTCATTTCATTTGGATTGTTCATCTATAATATCAAGAAATACAGGAGATTTTTGTATAGTACTTTTGTATCCTGTTGCCTTGATGAACTGTTCATTAGTTCTAATAGCCTGTGTGTATATTCCTTAAGACTTGATATATAAGGCAATGTCATCAGTAAATAGAGTTTTACTTCTTCCTGTCTAATCTGAATGGATACCCTTAATTTATTTTTCTTGCCTAATTTCCTGGGTTAGAATCTCAAGCACGATGTTGTATCAGTTTGATATACACACTGTGTGCGTGGAGTAGGGAGTGTTGAAGACTATTCAGGTAAGGTAAGTCACATGGGTGGCTGCTTCATGTCTATGTGATTGACCTCCAGTAAAAACCTTGGGCTCCAAAGCTTGGGTGAGCTTCTCCTGTTGGCAATACTTAGTACACATTGTCATACATTATTACTGGGAGAATTAAATGCTGTCTGTAAAAACCCCAGCTGAAAAGGACAACTGGAAACTTGTGCCTTGTTTCCCTAGACTGTCTGTCATATGCATTTTTTTTCCTTTTTCCTGATTTTAATCTATATCCTCTCCCTGTAATAGACTGCAGTCATGACTCTAAACAGTGTTTCTGAGTCTGGCTAGTGAATCACTGAAACCGAGTGTGGTCTTTGGGACTCCCAACACACGCTAATTTAGATTCTTTGTCTATGAACAGCAATGTCTGTGTTTCTTTAGAGGCAATTTTTATTGACTGCCTTTATTCCTGTGCATGGACCATATTTTTCTATTTTTTTCATGTGTCAAATTTTCCTTGAGAAATGGCTATTTTTAGTATAACGTGGCGATTCTGGAAATGAAAGCGTCCCTCTTCACTCTTCCCGATGGCTTGTTGATGTTTCTTGTTGTTGCTGTTTGTTTGTTAAGTGACTTTCCTGAACAAATTCTGTAAAGTTAGTTTTAAATTTTTTTTTTTGTCATGAGTGGTCATTTAATTCCATGCTCGGGTTACACAGTGGTCAGTTAATGTTTAGACAGGGATTTGAGTGCTTGGAACCTGTTGGTTCTACCAGTCTTTGCCAAAGGGTTCTGGCACACTTTCAGCATTCTGGTAGTGACAATTCTGCTTTAGCCTTAACTTCCTGCTTGAGCCTCACAGGGGCTCAAGTTCCATCGGAGGTCAGAGATAAGGGTCTTCTCAGGTCATTCCTGGGCATGTGCACAGCTCCATGCATGTGCTCCATCTTTTAGATTCCCAGGGATGTGTTGACACTTTCTCAAAGCCTCCTGTGGACCCTCATTACTTAGCTTTAAAAACAATTTTTAAAATGTTTTTTAGTCAGCCTCTTGTTTACCCAGCTGTTAATCCTAACTCAGACAGCTGTGATGTTAAATAATTGCTAATGATTTTTTTTCAACGAATGCTCTGGAGAGTAGGCTTTTCATATTGATTGTAGCCTGAGTGAGGCAAACAAAGACGAGTCCTTTGAGTGGGGGTTTCCAGAGAGCTGCCAGATAGGTCAAATATATGATAATTTTCTCATAATGGAGATTTTTTTTGGGGATTCCAAATATGTTTTTCACCTTCCATTGCCTGAAAGCTGCTGTTTTTCACTGGTATTATAGTGGCGAGGCTGTTGGTTTTCAATGGAACTAAAGAGAAGAAGATGGGAATAGGATAACGTAAAATGTCACAAAGCTCACTCTTCCTACTGAGATTTAGTGGGTTTTTTTTTTCTTTAGAAAATACTCCTTGGATTAATTGAGGACTTTCCTTAATTTCCAGATTTTTGAAAATGTTGATTTTTGATAATTTTGCCTTTACGAAGGGGTCCTTCTTCAGAAGAAATAGAGGTCCTCGTTCTGCCCTTCCAGAAATGCTTCCTCTGCTCTTCTGTTTTTCAAGTTTGTTAGTGGCTTCTATTCATCTTTGTGTTTGAGAAATTCTCTTTGCTTCTTTGTAAATAACATTTCTGGCTATATAGTTTGGTGATTAAGGGTAAGAGGCAAGATGTATGTACAAGTAAGTTACGCTGAACTCATGGGTCTGGGAAACTGGATGGAAGTAGTTACTGAGGGAACCATCCTAAGTCTCCTGGAGAATCTCCACAGGTCCAACCAGAGAGTTTCCTGTTCATTATTCAACACACAGAAGCTGGGAGGACTTGCATAGTTGCTCCTATTGCTGTTCCCCTGTTAAACACCCTGATGAGAGCTAAAAGTCTTCTGCTTCTTGTACTCATCGTATGGGACCTGGAAGCTCACTGAGGCTTTGACAACACACAGCACTCTTCCTCTGAGTATGTGTGTTGTCATTCTCTTTGTTAATCTGATCCTTTTGCTTTTTATTTTTTCAGTGATTCTTCCAAATTTCTGACCCACTGATGGTATGCTTACTTCTGGTCCACTGAAACAGAATCACTTCTTCAACCCTTTTTAAAAAAATTCTCCCTTTCATCTTTTTTCATCTTCATCCCCCATCCCTGCTCCTCCTTCCCAAGCCCCCTTCCTCTTACATATTTCTTCTGTCATTTCTAGAGATTTAGAGTGAACAGGAGGGAAAGGTGGCTTTGTCCACCATCTGAATCTAAATCTTCACACTATACATAACAGTGAAATATGTGGGACAACTAAAAAAGAAATGAAGGGTGGCTAATTACTAGTGATACATTGTGTAACTATTAAATATGTGTTAAAAGAATGCTTAAGTCATGCAAGTTTGTGTAATACAATAAATATGGAAAACAAAACTTAAGATGGTATTTATAGCATCATTACAAAAATGAACAAAGGAAATCATGATTTCATTCTTAGAGACTGTACGAAATATGACAAGATATTAATCAAATATCAATAGCAGAATCTTAAATCCTATGTCCTTCCTATTCCTTGATGATTAGTTGATAGCTAGTAGTTAAACTGGTACCTGTCATTCCTTGTATGCTCTGGCCCCTAAGTCATCTGTCACTTATTTTCCTCATTGCTCTTTCAGCCACAGACAGACTGGCTTCCTTTTTTGTTCCTTTAACACACCAAACTTTCTTCTCTCTCAGGTCCTCTCTTTCTCTTTCCTATGCGTGGAATACCATTTCACTGGGTATCCTTGGGGCTTAGCACTTCATTTCACTCAGGCTTCTAACTTAATGTCATTTTTATAAGACTATCCTATAAAAAATAGCAACACTGTTTCCACTACTACTCTGTCACATTATACTGTATTTTTTTCATAATAAATTATTACCTCGATATATTTGTTTCTCTTTTCCTCCCATGGCTTACATGATAGTGCCAGTCATGAAAGCAACAACATTGTCCTGTTTAATGCTTCGTCTCTGGGGTCTAGAACAGTGGCACATTCTAGGTACTTAATAAATGCTTGTGAAATAAATAATTTTATAAATGAAATACCTGACATAAAATGTTATTTTAGTGTGTATTTTAATTAAAAAAATTTGGACCCTAACTTCCTGTTGAAATTTAAAGAGTCTATATAGAATATCGAAATAATAGTTTAAAAATGTAGATTTTTAAGTCATTTGAAATTAAATTATACTTTAAAACTGACATTAAAAATATTGAATTTTTACAGTTCATATTTGGTCTAAAAAACTGTTAGTAAGGGATGAAGCTCTCATTCATCTTTTTGATTTACCCTCCCAAATTAAG